GAACAAATACGCCTGATAAATACCATTAACTCCAATGTCATACATCGTCTGCATCATTAAAATCATTAGTTATATTCAAACATTTTTAGCTCCTTGTCATATTTAATTATTAATATATTTTTTTTAAGAAAATATAATTTTCCCATTAACCTGCAACCATGCGCCTGATATCCATACAAGTCTACTGTTCCATTTGATTAATTAGACACTTACCAGAGTGGTCAGCAGCAGCCTTTTGTGTGTGTACCTAGCCAAACCACAGACCCATGTAATTGTTCTTCTCGCAGCCTGTGCAGTTTAATGAGTAGTGGCAATCCTGCACAGTTGTTGAAATTGTAATGAGTCTGCAGGTCACAAGCTGGCCCCTGATAAAGAGTGTGGTCAAGGTCCAGTGAGGGAATGACTTCACCAGATGCCGTTTCTCAGCGGCGACCGGTGTCTTGAACTCTCAGCATGGGGATAATGGGGGTCTATTTAGATGAATGGAGTTAACCATTTAGAGTTTGAGACGATGGGAATTATCCCCTCTACTCAACTTACACTTTATGATAGTATCTTTTCTACCAGGCCATTATGTTTGTCACGCCATTATGTTTGTCTCTTTTGAGACTCTTTCCATCCATCCATCCCGCCAGCCATCCATCCATCCATGCAGCCATCTAGCCATCTATGCATCCATCCATCCCTCCATCCATCCATCCCTCCATCCATCCATCCCGCCAGCCATCCATCCATCCAAGTTCTCTCGAATATTAAGTGATGAATTCTTTATTGTGGCACTTTGGCCCAGAGACAATATCACTGTCATTGTTCAAATCTCAGTTAGGGCGGTTGGTACCTTCCAGTGGACTCACCACCCGCAGGAAGGTTCAGGAGGGTTGGTACGGTGCAGTGTGATTTGGGAGGTGGTCGTGGGGGCAGCAGTCTCCACAACCGCCAACCGGTAATGTGGATGCATATGAAAATGGATGGATGGATGGATGGATGGAATTCTTTATTTGGGTGGTCTGTTTCTAGCGATGTAAAGCACCCCTCAGGGGTGAGGAAGGGTTAATGCACTCTGTGCTGATGTAGCTGTAAACCAGTCTTTGCTTTAAAGATGAATGAACGCATTCTTCCTTCCGAGCCTGAAAGTATGTACCCCCCCGCGCTCCCCAGAATCTCCTTCTTCCTTCAATGGTTTCTTCCTCTGCCTTTCCCTCAATAGCTGATTGATGGTACTTCATTGACAGTACTCAGTACATGGAAATATCTGTGGGACAAATGGTGGTTGTCAGTCTGGACTCCATGGTCTGCCGGTCCATGAGGCAGACTCTCAATGGGGGCTCTTGTATCTCTTGTATGGAGTCACCCTGGGGTCCTGACCACCCTGTTGACTTTTCCTCCAATAAAAGACATTAGCTTCATTGCCCGCAGCTTACAAACAAGAAAAAAAACCCACAGTGGCTGATTATGTGTCTGCGGTATAACAAGATAACCACAATAGGCCAACACTTCCTGGATCGCAGTTGGGTTAGGTCACCCAAGTTCATCACAAACTTTAAAAAAAAAAAAGTCCTCAGACCTTATTAGCATTAGCATGGCAGAGTTTATGAATCTTCTTTGACTCTTATTAAGCATTGTGATTTATTTGTGTGGCAGTACAAGTGGCTGGCATGGCATTGCATACAAAATATAATTTTTTCCCTCAACGCTTTTCTTGTGTTTTCACTCGCTGCCAATTGCGGCTGTTATTCTAACAAGCGGTGGCTACGAGCTGCCAACTGCTCTCGATGCACTGCTCTGTACATTTTAGGCGACAGAGGAATCTGGACTCAGTGCTGCTCAGCAGTTTTATCAATGTGGCGAAATACACTACACCGCTGCCAAATAAACGCTTTCCCTCTCTCTATTTCTCAACCTCCTGCCAGTAGTGATTTATGGCTGAATACATCCTTGCCCTGTTCACTTAATCCCAAAAGAAAAATCATTTTCCAATCGAGCAGAACTTAGGCTTTGAAGAGTGGCTCAACATGTGCACATGGAGGCAAACGTTCTATTGGCACTGGCATCTGGTTGAGTGATGCATACCTCACTCTCATAGGCTTGATGGGCTGCTGTGGTCCATCAGCCAGTCTGTGCGCAGGGCTGATTAAGATGAATTGTCTTCTTCTCCTTACTGAGGGTGCAGTTTGACATGTGCCACACTCAGAAAGCAATAATTATGGATTTTTATTCTCAACAGGACACGCTTGTAGGCTGAATGCTTTTTTGTGTCTTGTGTTTACACGTGAATTGAAATAGTGAGGTTGTAACCTGTTGCTGATTTGGCTCAGCGAACTCAGCTGTTGCACCCATTGTACTTGTGCTGCTCATTTAGCAACAAGCGTAACGTATGTTTCAAAAAATAGTCTCAGGTGAATGTGATAAAACATCACGTATCAAGACTCTCAGTGTAAGAAACTAAGTTTTGTAACTTAGACTTTAAGTCAAGGAGGGACAAAGGGTCAAAGGGGGAGAAAAGTAATAGCCTGGTGGACGGTAGGTCTGAACCCAGTGTCAAAAGACCAGAGCTTTAACGTTGCCTTTCTGTCTGCGTAGAGAGCGTGTCAAGCTTTGCACCAGCATCTCATTAGTAGAGTGACAGCTGTGCAGAGGCGGACAGCCTGTTTTCAGAGGCACTGGCTGAGTCATAGAAAGCCAAAGACCAATCAGGGAATATCTGCTGCATGTCAGGGAGCCTCACGCTGCAGCTCGGTTACATATTCAATAAGAATATCGAAGTTTTCATTAGCAAAGAATTATTATTTTTTTTATACTTTTGCACTGAACTTAGATACTAGGTATCTAAGTTCGGTAGATACTGTTTTTCAAGAATAAGAATATCGAAGTTTTCATTAGCAGAGAATTTTTCTTTTTATATATACTTTTATTTGCCTGCACTGAGCTTTTCTTTTCATTCATGTGTTTTCCCGGTAGATACTGTTTTTCAAATGCTGGAATACCATAGTCCTACCATAGTGCAGTCACTGAGCTCTGTTGCTGAAGGTCAAGTACAGTAAGACTTTACTTATTTGTGTTTTGGAAAATCTAGAACCCTTAAAGTCCTTCTACACATCTATCTAAACCATGTGTCAAACTCAAGGCCCGCGGGCCAAATGTGGCCCACCAAGTCATTTTGTGTGGCCCGTCAGAGCTTAACAACTCTTAGATTGCCACATAATAAAGTCCATGGTGTCGAGTTTCTTCACCTGATTAAAAAAAAGGTTATTACACAGAGCAATGTACAGTATTATTACCTTGAATATATAATAATCAGTTGCATAAACATGTATTAATAGGTTATGGAGTAGTTATAGCTATAAAGTCTTACAGTTACAACCACCCATTCAAGTAGAACCCTGTTGCTGATGTGGCCCCTCAGTGAAAATGAATTTGACATCCATGATCTGTAGTGTTCCATATTCATGAAGTTTTTTTTTTTTGAGACCTGGTTCAAATATTGCCCTGCTTTTATCTTAACAAGATCCTTGAAAGAATTAAAGACTCACTGAAGCTGTAAGTTATAGTATGGTGGCCTTAGAATGATTTCAGAACGAGATAAGATATAAATAAGTATATATGTATCTACATATATATGCATATATGTATGTATATATGTGAATATCAATTTATTCATATAATATGTATATATGTGAATATCAATTTATTAATATAAATATGTATTTATATATGTGTGCGTATATGTATATCTGTATGTATTTATGTATTACTATGTATGCAGATGATAACATAAAAATATGAGCTGTTTTAGGGAGGCAGCTATCTTAACTACTGGATATTTACAAGGTGTCTTCCGTATTAGCTGATGCCACGAGGCTTCCAAGATAGCTGGATGTTCAAGTTGCCTAGGGTTTGACTGAGGATGAGCAGTAAAACTTGAATAATATAATATGCTGATAGGGAATTTATGCTTAATACTTATGTCTGGTATTAAGATATATCAGTGCTGGCCACTTTGCTCAGAGTTTGCCACTTGACTTCCTCTGAGCGGCCACCTTCAACACTACCTGCTTTTGGCAGCCGCCTCTGGGCAGTACCCATTGGCCAATCAACTCCCCTCCGCCTCGGGGCAGGCATTGGTTTCTCAATTGCTCAGTTACCTCGAACTGCAAGCCCATCTGTCAATCACATGTCTGGGGCTCTCCGTGCTGCCTGACCCACTGCCTCTCTTGCCATAGCAACACTATTCCCAGCAGACCCTGCTGTCAAGAGCAGGAATTCTGAGATATCTAAAAGGCAAGAGTCTCTGATCCAGCGTGCACACATGAGGTTTTGTGGCCCCCGACTAAGATGTGTGAGTGACATGAATAATGCATACCCGCATTTATTCATTTATTTGCGAAATCCTATACTTGGTGCAGAAAAAGGCATGCTCTATTAAAAGTCATTTTCTGTAGGACTGCCTTTGGAAAACAGTGTTTTAACCACATTTACTGAAACCGGTAGAGAAAAACAAAGGCAAAAAACAAAATACATACTGTATTAAAAGAAAATTACAAAAATGATCAATCACTGTTGCTCAGTGTGAAGGAACTTAAGGCACTTTGCCGCCTTTTTAATTTGAAAAATAGAAGACCATGCCTTTTGTTTGTTGAAAATGGGACTTCTATGTAGGAATGTATTGTAAGTATGGGAAGTAGTGAAGATACTAAAAAGTACTGTACCTGAAAAATATTCTTTTGTAACAATTTAAAGTAAGCGATCATCTTTTTTTTCACTTATTATTTTATTCCCAAATATTCAAAATTTTTATTCTTTTGTAACAATTTAAAGTAAGCAATCATCTTTACTTCTTTTTTTATTCCCAAATATTCAAAATTTAAGGGAAGTATTTACAATTGTTTGTCTTTTATGTCCTTATTTTGCTTTTCCCTATTTACAATTGTTTGTCTTTTATGTCCGTATTTTATTCTTTAAAATATCAGACTAAATGTATGTTGATTTCTCTTGTCTTGTAGGTGATCTTGATCTTGACCAAGTACTACCACGCTGACTCTACCAAGGTGCTGGAGAGCTCACTGTGGAGGTAAGCCAAACCTTTAGATGTGCCTCTTTCCAGTACTTTCTTTAGCCAGGCGCTGTCTTTTTAAGCAGTTTGGTCAGCGCACAGCTGGGTTTCCCAGTGCTTCTTGAAGGAGACACGGACGATAACACACTGCTAGGACGGGCGAAACATCAGCAGGCAGCTATTTATTACGCGGAGAGCTGGAGGGTGGTGGCTGTGAGGCCAGAGTGTGCATCTGTTTGGACAGATAGAGTATCAGCGTGATGCAGGGCAGGGCAGTGGCCACTGCAGTGCCACAGAATGGGGTCAAGAATCCCTGGCAAGAGTTTTTCCTCCTTAGCAGATCTGCTCATTGCCAAAAAACATTTCACAGTTAATATTCAACAGGAGCATTAGCGTCAATTTGCAACAAGTACAGTTTAATTTTGCACTTAGACTTTGAACTAAACTAATTTTGTCTTTGTACTTACCGTCCGCTCTTGTTGTTACCAGTGCTAAAATGCTAATCTCAACATCTGTTTATTGAAAAACTGGGATCAGGCTAATTTATTTTTTCATATTTTGATGCATTTGAATAACAGCGTAGGCTAAAATTATGAGTAGAGGAAACATTCCCACAGAGCAGGACATGTCTACGGTGGTTACTCAATTTATGCCATTCACCTCGCTGAAGACTCTGTGACTTCAAAAGCCTTTGTGTCTCATTAGCACCGACTGCCTGTCTCCCTGGAGGAGAGAAATGAATAATGTACATATTTTTATCCTGCGCTGTTGATGTTTTAATTGTTGCAGTCTATGAATAATGCTCCAGATTCACAACCAGCCACGGTAATTGAGAAAGGGACTGAGAGGGAAGGGAAAAAAAAGGAAAAAGAAAATGGTTGAAGTTTATGAACTGTGTCTGAAGTGTCAAAGAAAAGTAAACGGTTGACTGGTTGTGTGTTGGTATTACGGTGCAAGACGCAGAAATTAGCATGTAATCATCATCTGGGGCTGAAAAGGTCGATAAGAAACTGCGAGACTGCAGGTATTGTGCACAATTTTTATGGCTGACGTTTCCTTGACATAGTGTTCAGACTCGCTGTGTCTGCTGGCCCGTAGGTTTTAAGTCTCCCGGCTTCAGGATCAAAGGAGGACGGTGGGGGAAGATGAATGGGTTTGCCATCTTGACCTGTCAGGTGGCGTAGATCAAGAGGCCAAGTTTCACCTAGGGGAGAAGTTCACTGCACAAAGACGAGAGAGTAGAATCAAGTGCAGCTCGCCAACTAAACTGAGAGGCGTTTAGATCACCACTGGTCCACAGAGACCTGTCTGGTATCTGGGGATGGGTATCAATCAAAAGATTTGATACCGGTACCAGTACCGATACATTCATTTCAATACTTGTTCCTAATGATACTTTTTTTTGTCAATACTAATTTATAATACCAATTCTAACAAAAAGGAATTAACATTACCAATAATACCAATTCTAACAAAAAGAAAATAACATTACCAGTCGCGGGGGCAGCAGTCTCCATGACCACCACCCAAATCACACTGCACCGTACCAACCCCCCTGAACCTTCCTGCAGGTGGTGAGTCCACTGGAAGGTACCAACCACCCTAACAGGGATTCAAACCACAAGGTGAACCCTGAGGTTCCACACCAACAACAGAGACATTGCCTCTGGGCCAAAGCACCACATATAAACAACATTCACTGACATATGGGTTGTAGGGAACCGTGCTTCAGCTCGCTAACCACTTTAGAGCCCAACACAGATACACGTGAATTCCGTCTGTGGGCGTAACCACAAACATTACCACGTATGTATTTTTTAATGCATGCTGCAATCACGTATAACGTCACAGCCAATCGTCAACAGCATGATCAGATCTTGATCATGTGATTAACGTCTGGGTACTGGAACTTGGCACCAGAACAGAATACATTTTTTAATACTACCAAAGCCTGTCAGTCGGTGCCATAATAGAACCGCAGTCCGTTCACTAGCCCTACGTACTTCTGAGGATATGTGAACCGCAGTCCGTTCACTAGCCCTACGGGTATCACAAAGTACTTGTGAGGATATGCCCCTCCTGAACACCTATAGCTACACTGATGTCTTTAACCTGAATAAAATAATTAATGCCATCTATTCGACCATTGCTGTTGGCATGCAGTTAGCAAATGGCCCATGTTGTAGGTAGGACACTTTGTAACAGCCCACTTCCTTCAGGAATGTCAGTCAGTAAGCCATGCCATGTGTTTCCAAAAATCTAAAAAGGCCACGTGTTCAGAGCCCACCACGGTCTGTTCGTGCTGCAGTTTCCAGCTTGTACCTTTTAATCGAAACCCTAACCACAGTTCATGCTCTGTCTGAGTTTCCCAGTGTGCTGCGGAGTTTTGTCTGTGCTTGGGCCGTGGCGTCAGAGCTAGCTGTTTTGTAATCGCTGCTTGATGATGCAGCACGTCTGCCCTTCAGTGTGTTATGTCTGACCCAAGGTCCCGTGTGATAACCCAGCTAATAAAGAGAACCAAACAACCCTTTCCATTCACTCCTTCTGTCTAGACCCGATTTCGGGAGAAGAGAAATGGGAGGCAACCTGCGGCGAGCCCCCCGGGCAACAAAAGATGTGCAATATACATATTCAAACATAAATAAGAGATATTCTGCCGTGAGAAAGATGTCAGGGATTGAGTCATGTGAGGTGAGGTAAACTGCCTGTTGGCAACAGATCATGTTTTGTTTATTAGTCTCCAAAAGCCATGATGACGATACTGCGATGAAAACTGGAAGTGTAAACATGGAAGTGTGTAAACACATATTTTACGTTAGAAAAACCATACAAAAAGTTTTATCTAATTTATTGTATTCGTCTTCTAGCTTCAGTTTACTCACAATTTACTTACCAAGTTTGAAACCTCGGCCTGTTTAATTGAACACAATACTGTAATACTAGCAGGAATTGAAGAAAGACACACACCAATTATCACTTAATTACACTGGGTCTCTCTCTTTTTTCCTGTTTTTAAAACCATTTGCTGCCACCTAGTGGAGGCAGATTACCTTGTTGTGCCTGGTACTGCTGTCAAACCTGATATTCTCTCTTATTTATAAACACAGAATAAAATTGGAGAAACCGTTCTCGTAGATTAGCTGAAGATGTGAGGATTTGGTACTGGATCAGCAAACAGCATAATGACTCCAAACGGACAGAACTTCTTTAAGCCCTAGAAATACTAAATAAACTTTATTGATCCCACGCTCCGACTGCAGGAGCAGATTTGGGACTCTCACGAAAGAGAGTTACAAGTTAAGTTACACAGGTTTTACACAAAGGAGCAGATTTGGGACTCTCACGAAAGTTACACAGGTTTTACACATTTGGTCGTTTGTTGATTCTTTTTTGGAAGGCATTATTATCCATTTACACACAAGTGTATCTAGTGATTGAATTTGATTGAAAAAACAAACGAAAAACCTCCGATAAGCCGATAAGCCGAGGCCAGTTGGTATGTACTGTACAGTTGCTTAACCCATATGTGGTCAATTTGCTGCTGCAGTAATCTCACTCACATAAACAGGATGCTGCTGTTGGAGTCGGGGGATGTTTATAATTCCTGCCATCTTCAGAGCTCTCTTAAAGACGCACAGGAGGCTGGTTACCATCACACTGGGTTTCTTTTTCACTTCTGCCCTGTAGTCATGAAGGTCATGTGTCAGAGTAGGATTGTCTGTACGACAGTAAAACTTCCCAGCACGTGTACAAACACAGCAGTCGTGCAAATGCATGAACGTACCATTTTTGTCTCTCTGTTGCATTTCTGTGTGTATGTAAGTTTCTGTTCTGGATATTTGTTTCTATTGCAGTTATTTTTGCATATTTGTGTCAGTGGGGTAAGAATGTATTTGTATGTCATCATCAATAGTCGATTACGAAAACCTCGCAGGGTCTCTTTATGTTGAACAGAAGGGGGCATCGCACTTCAGACAGACATGTCAACCCAGATAGATTTGCAGCTCCTCATTCCCTCTAATCTTTTCTGCGTCTCAGTTTTTCTTCTCTTGTATGCATTTTTTTTTTTACATTTTCTCTCTTGAAAAAAATAGAGCGATCAGCGATATGATGAGGGATCACAGAGGTTTTTAAACCTTTGATGATTCTCATGGAAATGTAAGTGGAAATATGATGTAGATATGAGAATATATATGACACACTTTCAAAGCAGATCAATAACAGACAGAAAAACACGCATCTTAGAGCAAGTGTTTAAGTTTTCAAAGTCTGAAGGACATTAACAAACGAGGGCAAACAAAAGTCTCAAAAAATCTAAAGCAATCAAATGATGCATTTTCACAAAAATGAACTGCAGTCCCCTGAAGACTACTTGAAGTAAAAAAAATAAAATAAAAAAAAACGCAAGAAAAACAATCAAAAACAAATCAGATATACCTTGGAAAATTTAAATAAAAAAATATCCAATTTATTTACCGTCTATACCACAGAGACAGTCAGAACATTTAAATACTCCTCCACTAGGTAGCAGCAGATGGTTATTAAAAAAAAAAAAAAAAAAAGTGAGAGAGACTCAGAGCAGTTGAAGATCTTCATGCACGTCTTTCTTGAATCCCTGCAGGTGTATCGTTGTTGTGTTCAACTAAACAGGCTTCAGGTTTAATCAATAGATAGAGCTTTATTAACCCCTCGGGAGTTCCCTTCAGGAAAAGTAAGGCTCGATATTTGAAGATTATTACATTTCTTATATACGTAAACACTTTGAGAGTACAAGAAAACAAACGAACAAACAAACAGGAAAGCCAACCCAGTGTAACTCTCATGTATTTATTCAACATGAAAATCCACCGTGACTCACTCTGCTCTCCAGAGGCCTTCTGTGTTCATACAGCACGGTGAAGAGATGTTTAGATTCTCATCCCTCATGCGGTAACATAAGGGAGGTGAACTGCTTTAGATTCACTCTGCAGCTTGACACAGCTGGAGCCATGAAGAAGGCTCCTCAGAGACAATATATTTGCCTCAGTCATTACCCAACGCGCAGCTAAATCAACCAAACATTATGATGCTGTTTTTATACAGCTGGTATCGGGTCAACTTGGTCACACTTACTCTTATATAACTACAAGTTAATATTACTATAAATACACATGGACAACAAGCGGCAGCTACTGTGAACGGTAAAATATGGACGACAACTGGAAAGCAGGCTGCCACAGTTCCGCTGACGGTGACTCCTAGAGAGCCGTTCCGGCTGTCAATCACACGTCAGATAAGATGGTGTTTATGCTAGAACTGGATCAGCAGCTTATTTTGCTTTTAGTATTTGGATGTGTCAGTTTAACAGAGACAGGAAAGTTGTTTGCGTTGATTCGCACCTGTAACGATGTTCCGAGCAGTGGCTAACTTCGAGCTTGTTTACGTTGATTTTTTTAAATTTATTATTTCACTACTGACCTTTGTTCATTGCATGTTGGGCATGTCGGGCCTGGGTGTAGCTTAGACTGATTTTCTATCTTAATTTTTTTTAACTGGATGCTCAATTTCTAGTTGTGTGTTGCAAAACTGATAATGTGAATTAACAATTTTAAAAAAATTAGGAAAAATCTTTTTCTGCTAATTCTCTAAATCAGGGGTGTTAAACTATGACGAAGTCACATACCAAACTTAATATTTATTATAATTATTATTAATTAATTAATGTATAATTTCTTTCATGTTGAAACAAATTGTAAACACTGAATCTGGAACAAATAAAGCTTAATATTATAAACACATGAGAAATTAAATTAGAAATACACACATAACACACATCAGTAGTATTTGTTTCTCTTGTTTCTGCCTTTTTAAGTTCCTTTTTAATGTGCTATAACATAGCGTATACACCACTAATACTACAAATCCTCTCACTATATAGTACCTATATACTGGCGGGCCAACTCTAGTACACATTTAGTATTATCTCGCGGGCCAAATATAATTACACCGCGGGCCAGATTTGGGCCCCGGGCCTGAGTTTGACACAACAGTTGGACTTTTCCTTCGTTTATTGATTATTTTAAGTGGTCAAATCGTTGACAAGAGATAACTTTACTACCACTCGCTCCCTCCTCCAAAGCCTCCTTAATCAGTTTGTTTCGGAAGTGGATGAACATGTACATATTATTCCACAGTTACAAATGTGTCGATGATTAACCAGCCCTGGACTCCAGATCGCATTTCCCTTAAATGAAACCAGAAGAACGAGGGAAGCGGCAAAGTAGAAACACATGCTTTCGGGCATAATAAGTACAGCGTGTTTCATTTTCCTCTTCACCTTATCTTCTCCTCACTTCCACTCATTTCTGTCCTAGGGAAGGTTAATTCTGCTTGTTTTCTTGCATTTTTTTTCCACTCTTTTTTTTTTTTTTTTTTTTGCATTTCTGCCTCAGTCCAGATGGTCTGGTGATGGTAATGGGGCGGGGGGGTTGTAAATACTTAATTGAGGCGAGAGCATCATTTCCCCCTTCGTCCCTGCACACCACAACTCTACCACAGCATCGCTTTCCTGGTGCATGCATATTTCACAGGCTGCAGAGAAAAGAGAGAAACAGATATGGTGAAGGAGGTAGAGGCAGCGCCCACCGGAGCTTTTTACTTCCTTCTAAGATAGCAGTAAAAGTATCCACACACTTAGAAAGTCTGGTATAGAAGCAGGCAGCAGGACTCCAGGGTCGGGCTGCAGAGCTGCGGGGGTGGCGCTGCAGAGCATTTTAGAGCAGGATGCAAACAGAGTCAATAAAAATCCGAGGCACAGGTACACAAACAGAACTTTTACCCTCGCTATGGTGAGTTTGGGGAAGTTCTTCGTTATGAGTTCTTTTGATCAGGGTGGGCATGGAACAAAGATGCTTTAAAAACCTAACACAAAATTATGTAGGTTGAATAACAACAGCTGGTGGGGGATAAAAAAAAAACAATTTCAACACTGATTGATTACCCTGTCATTCCTTCTTCCCATGTCATTCCATGTTTTATATTCACTGCTTCTGTAACATCATCCACACCTAACAGGTTTTAAAAACACTCACTTTTTCTAAACTATACTCTTTATCCATCATCCTTTTCTTTTTGCTCTTGTTTCTACCATTCTTCCTGTACTTTTCTTTTCACTTTTTCTTTCTGCTTTTTTCTCTCTCTTCTTTATCCCTTTCTTCCTCATCAGCTTTCTCTTCCTCTACTTGCCCAACAGAACTCTTCAACCTTGACCATGACCTGGATGACTGAGAATCATCATAAACATCTTCCTCTACTTCTTCTTCCTTCCTTTTTTTAAAATAATTTTTTCCCTCTTTTCTCCCTCTAATTTTCCTTCTCCTAATTCTTCCTCGTCTTTTACTTCTTCTCCTCCTGCTACCCTCTTCGTCACGTAGCTGTGTGTTTTACAGCTAGACATCAACTGTCAACAAAGTATTTTAAAATCTCAAATCTCTTCCTTTTCCTCTTCTTGTACACCTTGTTCTTATTGTTCTCCCTCCTCTTTTGTCTTCTCCCGAGCGTTCTCTGAACAGCGTTACGCACTTCTTTACCACACTTTAACACAGCTACTTTTTGCTAAATAATAAATAAATAGTTGGTTCCCTTTCTGTTTCTTCTTTTTTTCTTACTTCTTTGATCTGTCATCGTCGTCTTCTTTTTCTCCTTGAACTGTTGTGACTCAGATGACAGTGAACTCAACCATTTGTACGTGTGACGAAGGTGTCAATTAATATCGGTAGAATTGTAATTTACACACAACATTTACCTTGTAAATATTATATATTTATATTATATTAAATCATATTATATTCATATACCTGCTTATGAACCAATAAAAAAAAAACATTTTCTTTGCCCAAAGGAATAAAACACATAATAATATTAACCTCGTCAAATGTCTGATGGCCAACTCCAGTAAGGAGCCGGAGATGGAAACTTTGTGCACCGTCCAATAGCAGAATCATTTCCAATATTATTGTGACTGGGATATCGTAGAGGAGCAGGGAACTCAGCTTACTGAGTCTGATTGGACCTGAAACCAAGTGGAAAATAAAAGGACCGTGCAGGCATTTGCTAATGGGTAGAGAATATCTCGAACGTCACGTGCAGTTTTAGCAGTGGAGTACAGTGCACAGTATAATAAAGTGTGTAAAAGTCACATGTATTCATTTGTTACCAGTCGCTTATAGTTTTACTCAAACGTTGTTCTTATTTCTAAATAAGACATCAAGGGGTGGTAGCTGAAAAAAGATAATGAAATAAAAGAGGAAGTGAGCCACAAAAAAATAATTTGTCCAAATGATTGACCTTATAGTTTCCTTGTAAACTAATTTTGGCAGAGGTCTGTGAGCTGAAGAAATTGTGCAACACACACACACACTCACTTTCCCCTTTAATTTTCTTTCTTCCAATTTCGTGGCCTCCCAAGAAGCTAATTACATCATCGCCTCAAGGTCAGTCTAATGCCTGGACCAAACTGCAGAACACTGCTTCATATTAGCAACCTGCAGAACATTATGTGGTCCAGTGTTTCCCAACCTTTTTTGAGCCACAGCAAACGGCCAAACTGAATCATGAGTCATGAAGAGTATACATCATGAAATATGCAATATTTGTATATAATATTTCACTATGTATAAAAATATAATATATCTTTTAGTTTTAATTTACTCACAATTTAGTCGGTGTGAAACTTCTCTGTTTGTTTGAACACAACCCTGATACACTGTCAGGAATTGAAGAAAGACACGCTCAAAGATCTTCTTTACCCCAGGTCTCTCTCTCTTTTTTCTTATAGCCCTCTGCTGCAACCTAGTAGAGTATTTAATTGTTCTGCCCCTTCAATGTGACATTGTTGAACACAGACAATTTATTAGCAGTGAATAAATAATCATTTTCAAGAACAATTGGGTATGAGTGAAATTGGGTATTTTCCCTTCATAGTACACCTGCTGATCTCAGTACAGCAGATTACCACCTGATTAATCCACAATTATTAATTTTAATATTTTGACAGCCCTAGTTATTTTGACATCACATAATATTGACATCATAGTAAATGGGAAAATAAAGGCCACACACATTGAACACGATTAAATCTGAAAGCAATGAGTTATTAGTCTCATTAGTAACAGTGGTCAGATGTTTTACCATGGTCCTTTTTCTAATGTAAGGGCTACTACACTGCTAAGTACAGGAAGAAGAATTGACAATATTTAGCAATGTTTTCTCTTCAGTATAGTCACTTTTTTTATTTTCCTATAAGGTTTTTGTGGAAATACTACCTTAAAATGTAATGCCGCTCTAAGGTCACAGAGTGAATATGTGAAAAAGTTTTGGGTCAGGGGAGGGGCGGGATCAGCTGATGG